GGGGACAAAGGTTGGCGATGGAAGGCATCTACGTCGACGATGGTGGCTGGAGAACGGCAGATGAGAGGGATATGCACTCTGCTAGGGGTTCCAAGGTATGCGACGACGATGAAACGGGAGGCTCCGACAGCGACCGTGGTGTGGGGATGCTCTGGTGGCGATGGCAGTCCCTGTGCGGCGGAGATGGTGGCAGGAACCGGCCGCCGATCTGTCTGTGTGTTTGAATGGCTCAAGGACTTTCTTTTAAAAATTTGATAATGCTTGAGGACTTATATGCAAATTACAAAGGTTAATAATTTTTCAATTGAGTACATGGGTTCAATTTATAATTTATTAAACTTTAATAAATGCATCATATTATGGAGTAAATTTCACATTATGGGTTTTAAATATGCACATCATGATACTATTATGTTGTATATGAAACTATTAAAATTGTAGTAATTGTGCAGTACCGATAAACAAATCGCACAATAGTGTGTACACAAGTACTTTAAAAATACGTTTAACATATTCTTATATATCTCAATCGATTTGGCTATTTTAATAAATACATCTGACATTAAACTGAAATATTCAAAATTTTAAAGTGCCAAATAGTTGATCGGATCAAAATATATAAAACATGTACTAAATTTTTATTTCAAATGGGGATGGATTTATATAGTGCAATCTGTCAGTCACTAATTTGCAATCAACCTAATGTAAAAGTGCACTTGAATAACAAATATTTTTTTAATTAGTTGTTCCAATCCAAAATAAGCCCAAAATAATCGGTCTATTTGATTGATTAGTCGGTTTAACCTCAATAATCAAAATAATTCATAATTTGTACTATAAAATATATTTAGTATTCTAATATTTTTAGTTAATATTTTATATTAATTTTTATCGTATACACCTACATTGTATATATACATATAACAAAATAATTTTTTTTTTTAAAATTTGTTCGGTTTGGTTATTTTTAAAAATAAAGTTGAACTCGAACTGAATTAACTGAAATTTTAAAAGTAACAAAGATAGTTGATAAAAATATAAACTAAGATCACACGAATTTAGTTCGTTCGAATGTTTGACCGCTAAAGTGCAATCTGACAGTTACTAATGTGCAATCTATATAACGTTAATGTGCACTCTAAGTGTAACTTTTTTTTACTGGTGCGATCTGACAGTCGTTGATGTGTAATTCATCTAACGCTATTGTGCAATTGCAACTTATGCATTTTAAAATATTTTTGTTCTGAAATAAGCTAAAATTAAACTACTAAAATAATAGTGATTTAAAAAGTAAAATTATATAATCGAACCGAAAATTGCAATTGAGTCGACTAGATCTTTATAGTGCAGTATTCTAGTCATTAATGTGCAGTTCGTCTAACGCTATTGTGCAATTACCGTATATGCATTTTTTGTGTTTTGTTCCAAAATAAACTAAAACGAAACTGAAATAATCGTTTAGTTCGATTGGTTAACTAGATTATCCTAAATAATTTAAGTGATTTATTATTTATATTAAAAAATATATTTGATTTTTTGTATAAATTTTTGTTGGAAATACATAATTAACAAAATATCGAAATCAATAATATGCATCCCCACAGTCGATAATGTGCATTTCGTAAACCATTTATTGTGCAACCTATGGATCAAGTATTTTTTATTTGTCTTTTTAATTTTAAAAATATTAATAATGTGTATTTTTTATTGTGCAAATCCAAACTCAAATTGGACCGAGCTAACCGAAATTTATACAAGCAAATTAAATAATTTATTTTTGTATTATAAAAATATATTTAATACTTTTACATTTATTATTATTATTTTTCATATAAGTGTTGGTTGAAAAATACATAATTTATATATTAGCTATATCAATAAAAAAAAAATATAGCCCAATTTTATATGAGCATTCAAGTTGGCCCAAATGTAAATGTGTACAAAATTTTTGCTAATAGGCCCTTGTGATTTGTGTAATTCTCAAAATAAAGCCCCCAACCCACAATTTCAATTTCCCCCACCCCGTCTCCTACAAATCCGGCGACTGTGAGCGTTAAATACGTGAAACAGTGCTTTTCCTACGATTTCCC